TTGGTGGAGAGATGGGGCTTCTCTTCCTGAGTCAGACAGGGCCAATAACTCATTAGAGAGATGTAGAGGTGAAGACGTGGGAGAGAGGAAGCGAGGGGAAGGAGATGAGGGGAGAGAGCTCCTGGACACAAAATCAAGGAGATTTTTAGTTTCCTTTCTCTCCTTTCGCCTTTCTCAACCACTCACTTCTTTCTCTCCTCTTTCTCCTCTGACACTCCTCCTCATCTCTCCTTTTTTCTTCATTATCACCGCCCCCAAACCCAACCGCGCACACACACACACACACACTATTCCCTCCTTTCCATCGGCAACTCCATGGTAACCCCTCTCCTCCCCCCACCTCCTCCTCTCCTTCCATCTGTCTTTCTTGCTGCAGTGCCCATGCTGCCAGGCAGTATAAATCACATCTCTGGGCTTGGCTGCAATGGGCCTGAAAATAAAAAGGCATAAAAGTGTCGGGATGAGCTACGGGCTGGGGGGGAGAATTCCTTTATGATGGGTCTAAATCCTCCCCCGCCTTGCGTTCTCCCCGACACACACACACACACACAGACACGCACACACGCAACCCCCCCACACACACACACACAGATTGCTCATATACACCTGGACGATATACGCCACTACTACTTTGAAATTATCCCCCCAAACTGTGGCAGTTTGTGTGTCTCTCTCTCATAGAAACCTGTGCATTCCTCCAAACGACCACAAAAAACATCCTGTCACACATTATATGAAGCTCTTTTGGTGCCTATGTTATGTTTACTTTGTCCTGTTTTTAAAGGGACAGTTCAGCTAAAATAGTGTTTGTTGACATAAGCGTGTCACTGACATTTACCCCCTGGACACGTTTCTGTCAGTGCTTTCTTTTTTTTTTAAGGAAGATAAAGGTCGGCAGGAACGCCATCATCAAGTTGCAGGAGGAAAGAGTCACTGTACCATTCACAAAATGATGCGGAACCAGAAGTCACAGGTGCTAAACGGATAACGCTTCAGACGGGGGGAGAACACTTTTGGGCATATCAAAAATGATATAGAGGGGCCTCCGCTAAGGTTTATTCTACTATTAATGAGGGGTAAATGCGGTGGATGGGAGAGTTAATGTGCACCAAGTACCTGAAGCCGTTCTTTACTGTCTGAAATGGATTTTACAAACGGTGTTCACTCTGCATTACAGAACAAAGGAGACTCACTTCATTGTATATGGTGGTAATTGTGGACAATTTATGATCCCTCTGGTCTCCATCTATGTATCGTTCTGAGTAAATAAACCAATAAAAAATGACTGAGGAGGCCTATAACATATTGAAATGAAACTGCTGGCAGAGATGCATTGTAAAGGTTGTCTAAATGATCATGGGAATGAAGATGGAGTTGAGCGAAAGCACGGTGGATGGGCAACTCCATCACCTGCTAAAATCAACCTATAGCTCAGAGTTCTCCTTTAATCTACGTCCCGATGTGCACTTTGTCAACTCTATTAGATCACGCTGTGATCACACACACACACACACACACACAGCGATGATGATGACGGTGCGAACCTCCCTAGGTGCAGCCTATTCAGTCACAGTTGGAGCCATCTCAGACCTAATTATGCTTGGTTTTGCGTTTTAACTGTATTGATCAAAACGCTAAACAAACGAGAAATGCTTATCAAGCTGAAAAAAGAAGAGCCCTCTGGAGTTTTGTGTGTGTGCGCGTGAGTGTGTGCGTATGTGTGTCTACTCCACAGGGGTGAGCGTGAGTGATGGCGCAGGTCTAAGAGCTTGTGAGATATTGGTGGGTATAAAAATTGCAATTCTGAGCTTATGAGTTATAATTGCAGCCTCCCCCCCTTCACCCCTTTTACCACACACACAACCAGATATTTCTTCACATAAATGGTCACATATGCAGGCCTCGGGACATGCACAAGCACGCACACACACACACGCACATACACATCAAGGATTTTGCACACGCTTGCACGCGCAAATTAGCTGGACCGTAGCAGCACTAAGTGTACAATACCCTGCTCTGATGAGCAAGCTCCCGTCGACCTTGGAACTCTCTCTGGAAAGACAATGCAAGGGGGGCCGTGCCGCTAAAGGGAGGAGCTGGTGGGAGTGAAGATAAGGTAGAGGGGAGGGATGGATGCAAAGAGTGAGACAATAGATGAGAAAAAGAGGGAGAGATGGAGAGAGAGAGAGAGAGAGAGAAGGGTAAGTGATGCTGCTCAGTGTAGGGCAGGAGGGCAGTGCTCTCCCTCCCTCCTCTCCATCTCAGCTCATCTTGGATGCAAATGTGGTTTCTATACGGTTCCTTTGTGCCGCTCCTAACTGCTCCAGAGAGAAGCAATTACAACTGCTCCATTCACTCAGAGAGAGAAAGACACGCATGGACAGAGAAGGGTAATTAATAGAAAGAGATGGGAGGAACGAGGGGGAGAGGAGTTGAACACATACCTGTGGAGGAGCTTCAGGTATTGATTGTAGTAGCGGTTTGCTGTTGACACACGCGCGTCATATTTTCCTGAACGACTAATCTGTGTGAGGTCAAAGGTGAGAGGTCCCTAGCAGAAGTGCTATGTAGAGTGCTTCAGATACTGCATTACCCCCGGCCAATATGCCCCATCTGTCTCGGAGTCGTTATTCCCCCAATCATTGCTTCAAAGACCTGAACCCCCACAGAATTTATTGAATCAGAGGATCTCCATCCAGATATGACATCACCCTCCATTCCTCTCCGTCCCTCCGCAGACGGATAGTTGCATCGCCAGTGGCGTATCCTGTTGCAGTCACAGTGGCGGTTCAACGCTGCAAGGTACGGTGGGAGTTTTTATGGCTGTCATTTGAGCCGCTAATATGTCACCTCCATTAGCCGACTTTTAACACTCGCAGATAGATGGCCCTGTGACATTTATCTGCGCACGAGTCGTATTTTAGCCGTTAAATGGCTGCCGATGTGCGTAGTGCGTGCAGAATGAGTGTGTGTTTTAGCTTGTGCAGCAGTGGCTTGGGGAGGGAGATGCATTGACTTTTAATGAAGCTCTATGTAATAGCACTTTAGAGGTAATAATCACAAATACAATGCAAGTCGTCACCTTTGACCCCTGCCGTCGCCCGGCGCTAAAGAGAGTAGATGGGAAAGGGAGGCTGCTGCAAGGTTGAGACCCGGGACTCCAACAGTTAGACAGCCCAGGTAGAGTCCTGCGGCGTCAGCAAAAAATAATACTAAAGAGAACACGTAATTAACTTTGTCTTCAGAGAGATGATGAGGGTGAGGGAGAGAAAGGGAATTAAAGTGTGGAAAGGACGATTGGAAAGACACTACGGGAGCAAAAAATAAGTGCAGGGGTAGGGCGAGAGTCACAGAAAATAATTGCTCGTATAGATTTTGCCATTGTTGACTTTTGTAGGGTCAAGGAGGTGAAGCCATTCCCTGTGGTGGCTTCGGCTGGGAGTCTAAACGAGCTAATAATTTAGACTCATAAACGAAGACCAATATTGACAGCCGCCGCACATATTGAAAAGCATTAGGATTCCAACCACTATTAAAGAGTTGTAAATATGATATACAGTCTTGTAATTGAACTTTTGTACGGCAGAACCATTTCCAACTGCTCATAAAAATAACTTCCGCTTCGCTGCATTGAAAAACTGAGATGTTGTGTCACCAATGTGTTGCCGGCGAGCTTGGTCACCTGTCCAGAGGCATTGAAGTTGACTAATGTGACAGAAAATTAACAATTAAAAATATCACACGGGCCCAGAGCCACCACAACGTGAGCCGTTCACAACTCAGTGGACACCCTAATTGCTTTGAAATACATTTGGGTTTGGGCTTTGTTTGGTGTTTTGGAGGTATGAGGCGCATCAATGCACACTGGAAATTGAGTTATAAATTAGCTCTGGAATAGACATGTTCTGTGAATACTCAAATCCAAATGCTTGACTTTTTCTGCTCCAAAAAAGGCTGATGCGTCCATGTACACACACACACACACACACACACACCACTTGGCTCTGAAGCAAACAGATAATGCGTGATGCTGTATGGTTGTCACGGGTTACGTTGATAAGGTCAAACATAAACAAACGTTGATGGAAAGCTTCATCCACAAAACCAGTGGGACTCGAGAGAAAATGTTCATTCAGCCACAGGCTTTCCCGCCAGCGTAAACAGAACAGGTTTGTGTGTATTTGTGCTCATGGCTGTCCGTGTTTACAGACACGACCGTGTGTGCATGTGCGCGCACACACGCGCACACACAAACACACACACGTGAGGGTGTTGGGCAGATGAATGCAGCTCAGCGGCGTCGTCACTGACAGCTTCATTAAGGCCTGTGCACACAGGGAGACAGAACCATCCAGGGGAAGGAGAGCAGAGGACAGAGACGGGGGACAGGCCAGGTTTCGCTGTTGGGCCGGCCCACGTCAGTCCAGCAGTTGCGTGGAGGGAGAGAGGTGGGCGAGGACAGCTGCCGTCTCCTTTAATGAGCTTTCACTTCTTTCATCAGCTTTCAATTTACACGGCTGTCCTGCACTCTTTCACTCCCCGAATCCCTGTTAAGTCTAGTTTCTTGCGGGTCATTCCCAAGAGGCCGTCAGTTAAAATGAATTTGCCGTCCTCCTTTAATTAGACCAGCTCATCTGGGAGAGGAGTGACACGGATGAAATGTGAACAGCGGCAGGCCTTTTTCCTAAATTTCAACCAAGGTTCATGAAGGTTGTACCATTTGCTTTTGTCAAAAGTAAAAGGTGTTTTAAAGATACAAAATGATCAATGCGCACACAATAAACTAGGTGTGTAAATCAAGCATTCGTGAGTTACATCCCCGTACCGCATCCACCCGATGGTTAGAAGTCCTGTGATGTTTACGCTCCCTCTACTGGGCTCTTACAAAAACACAGCACTGCTGCATTGAATGGTTAAATGTCAAGGTGCAGCTATACAAGAAAGGTAAGTGCTATGCAAATTAAATAGTACGTACAACAAAAGAAAAAACATTGATATAACATTTCAAAAAAAGACAATTTATTTATCCATGTGCAACTCATAAAATAAAATATTTTTCTAAAAATCAAGTCAATAATTCAAGACTCATCCCTTGCTAACCTCAATAGTTTCAGTGGAAATAAAAATATACATAGTAAATACTTAAGAAATCACCATTTGAAATTTAAATGTTTACTACACATTTTCTTAAAACATTTCTTTCAGGCAAGCTAATTTAAATCCTCATGATATTGCCTTGAGAAATTATTAAAACAAATATCCAAAAGGGGGTTAACACAACAAAAAAAAAAACATTAAACATTTTTTACTCTTTGGAAGATGACTAGGGAAAGCAATAGCTCCATGTTGCGGTTGAGGGGGACAAAGGGCTGCGTGTCAGGGCACAACGACGGGAGGAAGGAGTTCTGAAGAACAGCTGTGGGTCTCTGTCAGCACTCTAAGAAGGGGACGGGGCTTCCTCGCGTCTGAGTGTCCACACTATGTCCCAAACCCGACGAAGAAGAGCTGCGATGGGAGGAATGGCAGCAGATTTGAGGAGTAAATTCAGCATCAGAAGTTGGGGAACTATCGTATGATATTTTCGCCAAAGCCGGTACCTTTCACAGTCGGAGTCACAGGTGGACTTCTCCGATCTGCTGGTGAAACCGCTGCTGGAGCGCTGTATGGCTTCAGCCACCGTGTACTTTGTCTTACCGAGAGCACACCTCGACATCCTGGTGATGCTGAGGTCCGACTGGAGGAACAGATGGAGTCGACTGTCCGACAACAAAAAAGTCGTATGAAGAACACTGGAGAAGGAAGTTGGCACAATTGATCAGTGAAAGTCAGCATTTGAAAATATTTTAAATAGTGTAGCACAGGGTCTCCTTCGGGTTTAAACAGATTAATTGTGTATGGCCTTTTGAAAAGGGGGGTTGGGGGGGGGTGTAAAGGGCACTGTTCAATGGCGAGGCGTTAGATTGCCGCCTTTGCTTTTACTGCACAGCAACCCACCTTTCTAAAAACTCCTGGAAGCCCTTCATCCTCTGCACGACCTGCTCCGTGTTCTTCAGGCTGAAAAAGGGATTCCGGGGCGGCAACTTTGGCAGCTCCCTGGTAGAGACGCAGAGAGAAAATGACTTCCACGCTAATCAGAGTCACAACTCAAAAGTAAGCCAATGTGTAAATAAACTATTTGAATCTGGGAGGTACAAACTTGTGAACCTACATGACCAGAGCATTCTGTTCCAGACAATGACGCAGCCAAACAAATTCACTGTAACGCCGCCTTACACAGGAGGTCTTCTTTCGAAAGCACATGCTGTTGGTCTGCAAGGAGACCGAAATTAAATAAACTTAGCACAGGAAATGAAACTGACCGTCCAAAAAAAAAGTCCAAATAAAACTTCCGAGTGACACTCACTTGTAAACAAATCTCGTAGTCGACGTGCGAGTGCCAGAGGTCATCTTTACAGAGCCTTGGATTCCGAACACAAACGCTGATCGTCTCCTGCAGATTTTCAAAGCAAACGATCACATCAACTGACACGGCGCGGGCAAGATGTAGGGCTTTACAATTTAAACCAAAAGGAGCCTCAGCACCCAGTTTCTACATTGCTTGTTAATTTTCAGACAAGAATGTAAACTGTGTTGCGGCTGCATAAGTGTAGACGAGAGAGAAGGAGCTTGTCCACTTACTTTTTGACAGACGGACAGATTATGCAGCACACTGTCCATTGTTGGTATAAAGACCTGCCAGAGATAGAGGGGGGACAAAAGTCTATTGAAAATGACTATTTACTTATGGTCTGTCATGAGCCATGTTAGAACAGGGTACATTTAAAAAAAAAAAAAGTTCCAGGATAACATTGTTAACAGTCAAACATTGAACGCTGTGTATTGAGGTCAATAATCCCTCGTTTCTAATGAGATCTGCTGTGGCCTGCAATTAATACTTTAAGCACTCAAAGTGCAAACATTTCAAGCAAATAGGTTAAATGGGAACAAGGAGCAAGGAGGGTTTAGCTTGACCCCCAAACCCCTTAATATGGAAACAGCAAGAGTTAAACAAAAATATTTTTTCGGTGTCACAATAAGCAGAAGGGAGTAGTCACCCAATAACTGCAGCACTTATGCAAAGACAGTTAAGTGACTGCATGGAACACGACAAGCCGCTTTTCTTTTGGATTCCATCACAGTGACCCCTCACATGACAGCAGGCTGGTCTAAAGGCTCAGATCATCTCTCCCCCCCGGACACCTCGATGAGACGCAGGCCTCTCAGAAGTACCAAGTCCAAGCAGCGCAAATCAATACAGCCTCCAAAAGCCTCCAAAGACCTGAGGTGACCTCAAAGAGTTCCTTTGACTGCAAGCTCCATTATAGTCAAACAAATTGGACCCGCTTGTAACAAGAGACGCTGCATTTTCATGTCGACAATTGTCTCTGCTGTGAAATGAGTCTCCAGATGCGGGACTTGGAAAAATAAATAAATAAATCATGGGATGCGCCAGCAATGGCCTCTTCCCTCTTACTGCCATATTTTGTGATCTCACCTGTAAAGTTGTGTTACTCGGTTGCTTGGCTGTCCACAAACCGAAAGGATAACAAGGCTGTTACATGAAATACAAACTAAAGTGAGCGAACGTTAATATAGACATAAAAAAAGTTAACATTTCCTTCACAATAGCAGCTTTTGCAAAACTACAACAAACAGCACAGACATTCTGAGTGCATCCTACCTCTCCCGTGTTTGCCTGCACGTGCATTAATCCGGTGTTTTAGAGCGGCACCCTGAGGGGTATTTACTGAGGCTCAGCACGGCCTCGAAAAGAACCACCGAACCTGCTCACTGCCGACACGACGCGCGTCCTCACCGACGAGTTTTAGAAAACTGACACCAAATAAAACGGTATTAAAACAAACAAAACGGAGGCCGAATTAAGCTACTAATGAAACGTGTTGCCTGCGGCCTCTCTGCGCACCTGTCCCTGATCCGTCGGTGATCGATCCTCAGCGGATCACCTGGTCGGAGGAGGGGCCCTTATGACGTAGTCGTGAGTAGCACGAGCTTAAAACGTCAGATAACTGCAATTAAAAAAAATCCCAATCATATTGATGAACCATAACGGATTCACAAAAATAAGCCTTGAACTCTGTCCGTTTCTTATTTATTGTATTTATTAAGTGTAGAAGAAAACGTTTTTTCCCCGTTTCCCTGTTGCTTTTTGTCTGTGAAATAAGGAGTTATAGCAAGCGTTTTAACAGCACATCTGCCACCACGTTGTGTTCTTTAACACGCATGAGAGAAGGAACCACACGATCCCCCAATACCGGCCCAGCCCCCCTCCCCGGGTCCCAAGTCCTCACCAGTAAAGCTTCCCAGCATGAACATAAACATAAAGTATTTTTTTAACAAATACCACACTAAATATACATTCATACTGTACACACTGTACGATTCCAGTACAGTTCTTGGACTATATTGGCTACGTTTATGGGCAGTAGGTACAAATCTAGCGGAGTAAGGAAAATATGACAAATTCAAGAACCTAAATAAGAATTTATTTCTGGTTTCTAAGAGTCAGAAGAATCCCTCGTTACATTTAATATCGCCATATCGTTTGATATTTCAAGAAGAATCCAAAAGGGGGATTTTATAACTTAAACAATATACAACCCAACAACAACTGGTACAAACAACAACAAAGACTGTAGCTCCAGTCGTCCGCTTTAAGACAGCCATGTGGATTCAGTCTGACTTTTACAATACAATACAGACAATACAGGTTAGATTCAACAACATCATAAAAAGGTCTTACCAAAGTCTCCAGCGTCCTTTTCCAAATTCCGATGCAGCCCAAGAATGAAGCTAAACACAACTTTTGAGAAGTGGCCTGGACTTCTTCCACCTCTGGTAATAGTTTAAAAAAAAGGAAAGTAAGTGTGTGTGTGTGTGTGTGTGTGTGTGTGTGAGTGTGTGTGTGTGAGGGGTGGGGGGTTACTGAGTGAGTGAACTGCTTTGTAATCCGGACTATAGACAACCATCATGTGCTGAACACACAAAGCTCACAGATAAGATCCTGGTAATCCAGTCAGGGCCGTAAACACAAAGTCCCTTTCTTCACTCATTATGAGATAAATACGTTGACATTTTACATAACACAGACATCCAGTAGCGTAACTATTCAGTTGACGGTCAATAAATAACACACAGCAACATGAAGCACCAACAGCTTTCACAATTAGAAGTGCTTGATGATGACTGGAGACGTCATGTGTGCAGTTGTGTGATCATCTGAGAATTAGCATGTAAGTAGCTGAGCTGAACCGATAACTCAATCAAGGTTTTGCATTTAAAATGTCACCATTTTTTTAAGCTTGTTTTCAAAATATTGTACAAAACTTGCGGTTTGCTACTTCCAATCCGCTTTAATGTGGGGGATTAACAATTGTTTCCTAAAAGGATTTGTTTATGGAGGGGTCAGTATTGCAGGACAAAAGGTATTCGCAAACCCTTAATCAACAGTTTGGGATGATGTCGGTTTCCTTTTGTCTTGTTCAAGGAAGTGTCATGAGAGATTTTCACAGAAACTTCATCCGCCCTAAAGCACAACGGTCCAAAGTCCATCTCCCATGTCCTAATGCCAATCATGGGACTGGTGTCCACGCTGCTGCAGAGGTGGTTCAGGCCACCTGGCGAATTGGCACTCAGCTCCATGGAGGAACTGCTGAGCGTTCGTGATTCCAGCGTCGCCACGGATTGGCAGGAGTTGAAATCAACTCAGTTAACGGGAGCAATGCCCCAGTAAAAAGATATTCTGAAAGAAAATCCTATAATTCGGATTTACTTTGCAAGCAAGGTTGCATTCAGTAGAATAACTGGATGTTTGTAAAGTCAAAACGTGTCACCATGCTGAGGTACCTTAGGGGCAGATGTGCCCTTAAATCCAGAAGAGTTAAAGGACATACCAAAGGTCGTCTGTCCACATGGGCCGTATGAACCGTCAGAAGCGGTAAGAGAACGGGATGGTTTGAAATTCTGTCCTGATTGGGTTTATGCCAACTGTACATTTGCATTTACAAAATATTTCACTGGCAGCATAAAAAGACGACGATGAATTTGGTCACAAAACCTTTATTATAACTTCAAATGATATTTACAGACAGACGGAGTATACAAAATGACCTTTAGGAACAAAAACATTAGAACTAGTGTAGAAAACAAAACAAAACTTACAGATTGATACACAGGAGGTGGCTGATGAAGTTCCATTTAGAATTTACAGAATTTTAAACCAGGTTTGAATACGGTTGGTTCATTCAAAGAATATGCTTTCTAAACTGGAATTACATCAATCATTATATGATACCGGAAGACTTTATCATACACCAACTGCTGCACCCTAACAAATCAGTTCAGCTAATATGTACAACGTGGCCCTCCTTAAAAAGAAAAACAATACAAGGGCTGAAACATCTTCAAAAATAACTAGGATGGCTAAAGCTAAAAGGCAAGCCAGAGGAGAAAACTCAGTCCTGAGGAAAAGGGTGTGATGGGACTGCTGGGACCAAAGGACAGTTCTACTGAGCCTCGTCCTCTGGACAGGAATGCCATGTCAGTCTCTCCTCGTAGAAGGAAATTACCACCTGAGGGCAGCGAGTGTTGGCCTCACGCGCGGGGACCAGATCGGCTTCATCTGAGTCTTTCCTAAAGAAGAGGACAACAGGGGAGGACATTCCTTTAAAACAGTGAATAGCCAAATGTATATTGAGAGAATGTAACGTCAAGAGTACATCCCTAGTGACAACAATTACTTTCAGGAGAGATTTCTTTACTACTCACCATTTCATCAAGAACATCAACTCCCCGCTGCTGTCCGTCGCTCCGATAATCCGTTCTGGGTCGAGATTCCTAGCGAAGCCACGTGGTTTCTCAGCCTTCAAGGGATGACAACAGGTACTATGAGAATCTTTGTGTGGTCTAACTCAAGTTAATGTAAAGCCGTAGTCCCAAGCAAACACTCGTGTGAAAAACATTAGTGAACCCACCACATCTTTCTTCTTGGCTTCCGTCTCTGGCTCGTCTGTGGATGCCTTCCGCTTCACGGGAGCGGGCTTCTCCTTTACGTTTTTCTGTGCTTCTAAAAACGCTGAGATAAGCTCTGGACAGTCCAGGTTGTCTTCTGGCTCCCAGGTGTTGTCAGCCCTAAATAAAGCAGGGGGGGGGGGGTTACCAATTGCACCTCTTTCACATAAGACTCCATTCAGATGCCACTAAAAGGCTTCGAATCAGCACGGCAGAAAATAGAAGCGTAACTATGGACAGGAGGCATAGAACGACCCCGTACTGGTGAGATCATTTACAGCTCAGTTGGGGGGAGGGAACTTACTCTGTGAAGCCTTTCCACTTCAGGAAGAATTCGACTTTTCCATTTACAATACGTTGGTCGAGAACTTTCTCGACAACAAATTCCTCCGGCTCCTCCGGAGTGTCGTGAGCATCCTTCTTTCCTTTTGTATTCGGCTTCTTGCCCATGTTGTGCACTAAAACCAAGAAGTAGAAGAACAAGTTGTTTAAAACTGATGCCATTCAAACGCTTCGCACGGACATGCATTAAGTTGAAAGGAAGAATGTAGACGAGCACCAAATCATCCATAGTTCAAGGATCGTAAACCATATAATAGTTGTAAAAACTTTGGATATAACTGAGAAGCATCTAGAAACGTATATGAAAATAAAGTACGAATGAATATTAGCAATGCAGAGTTACAAAGTCCTCCGCGCGTTGTTCAAAACAATATGCTAAGCTAGCAATAGCACAACATAGCGGTATGTAGGTTAGCCTAATTGCTAACGGTAACGTTAGCTTGTTATTTTACCTGGGTAGATTTTTTTTAACTTTCATTTGTCAGGTGCAAATCAAACGTCGATAACAAAGCTTGTTCAAAATAGAGTTAACACTTTCAAAAGAGCAAATCACGATAGCAGCCAAGCTCGACGGGATAATAAAAAAATGCTAAAGGCCCTTGACTCCAGCGTAGCCCTGAAACACAAATGTCTACTTTCCGCTAGCTTAGCGGTTAGCTAATATTACCGTAACTTAGCCATAACATTGCAGTGCACTTGCAATGCACTCGTGTAGCCAATCTAAATAGTATAGTTTTTAAGGTAACGTAATGTTATGGCTTACTTTCTGCTCAAACTGCGTTTCCTGCCACAAGGTCCAAGTTGCAAAAGAAAGCTATCGTTTGCTTGCCTGAATCAAACAATTAAAAATTACGCCACATGTTGTATTATCATTGAATGAAATGAATTATCACTGCATACGCACCTTTAAAACCCCAATAAGCTGCCTCGGAGATGTCTTCTAACCACGAGGTGGGCTTTCCCTTTATCTCGAATGCAGCGGTGAAGCAGGCGGCAAAAGTTAACGCAGGCGTAGGTCTCCTACGGAAGCCTACGAGGGGAAACGCGCTTCATACGTTTGCGACTGGTCGCTAGTGTTACTGTCATTTTAGCCTTTCAAAGTTTGCGTGTCTACAAGTAACAGAATCAAAACTACAACGTCTGAGGTTACTGATGTTGTATCTGCATGGTCCTACAAACACTTGTGGGCTTCTGTGCGTTCTCTTTTTTTTAATAGAAGGCGAATATGCCATCAAAAAGTTTGTGGATACCCTGCCAACAATTTCCTTTTGAAAGGGACTCAAGGGGGAAAAAAGTGACAAAGAAGGAGATCGCCCGTTTTTTTCTTTTTACATTTTTTTTAAATCAGAAAGAACAATGTCTGCAAGAGCATTTCAAATTCTCTAAGCAAAATCATACTATCAACAGTCAACAATCACCATGCAATCAAAAACATTTGCCCCCAAAACACTCAAATTGCAAACAAACAGAAAAGTAAACTCTTGGTCAAACCACAAAATGAAAAACAAGTTTGTGAGGGACGATAAAAAATATTTCCATGAGTTACACCATTACTTTATGCTCCGTTTCCAAATTAACTAATCCGACTGTAAAATTAGGCCAATGACTAACATGGCAAACTATCCTACAACCTTATTTCAGCAGTCAGATAATCTCAAGTATACAAAAGGCAACGGCCAAACACCAATCTCATTGAATAGAGTTTGATTGTATTTTTTACTTTTTTTTTCCTTCAGAAATGGGACTGTTTATTAATTCTGAAAATTAGTCAGAGTGCATTAAAGTTCCCAGAAAAAAGGGATTTTTTTTTGTTGGCCAAAATCCACAACACAAACCAAGATGTGAGGTAGAAAATAAGCTTATCTAAACTAATAAAGTAATAAAAATGAAAGGGTTAAGAAAAATTGTGCTTGAAACAAATGAATCAATAGCAATGCAAAACATGACATGGTAACCTTTTTGTTATGCTAATGAGCATCCACAACCAAAACACCTATCTGATGCAACTTAAGGCCTTGTCAATTTAATCATTGGTATATTGTATGTCATGAAGACATAAGGAAAACATTTCAGTACAAATTTCTACTGAACAGTACAGGCCCTGAAATATCTGAAACAAAGCCGTAAACTTTAGATAATCTCCCAATAGTCTCACCACTTTCAGACAAACTTACTATTTTGAAAATCAGTTACTGCCATTGACAGTCTCATAATGCATTTCAGGAACCTCAGAAACTTTAATAAATACAATCTTAAACCTCGTTATAATGAATAGGGATACATTGAGAGGCAAGACGACATGGAGACAAACGAACAAACGAAAAGGTTCCAACCCTCTGAGATCCCGATCCAGTGAGCGTTACACTGCTGGCGTCGTCTTCAGGCATGTCTGGTTATCTCAAGCCTCAGCGACTTGAACGTTAACAGGCACAACACTGGTAGCATCGCCGGCAGCTCGGCCGATCCCTTAAACTGCTCAGGTGTCCGTCTTCAATAAGCCTCAACATGTCCAGTGTGTAAGCTACATTTTCCCCCATTAGAACATTTATTTACAGATATTTTTGTATTATTTATGTTCTGAGTGTCTTTTCTTTTTGCAGATTCAGGCTCCCAACAGCGTTGAATCCAAAAACACACAAGGCAAAAGAGGAGAGACCGAAACCAGAGTCGGGCCAGTCCCAAAAAATATCCACAAACCTAAAAGCTCAAGTCTCAGGTGGCAATACTACATCACGGCTTTTTGTCCTTCTTTCTCTTGTCCGTTTTGTTGCCCGTTGATGTGGAGACAGCAGGCCGTCTTACGGGCTGAACAACAACCCTCCCATTAGCCCCGCACTGCAGGGTGAATCTTTCTGGGTTCAGGGGCCGCCCTGAACTATCTCTCAGCCGGGCCAGGACGTCTCTGGTCAGCTGCTTTATCTGCTGTCCCACAGCACCCATTGTCTTGGCTGTGAGCTGTTTCTCCTTCAGCAGCCTGCCTCTCTGGGCCTGCAACCTTTCCACCTCCTCCTGCAGCCCCGTGATGGCATCTAGTTTGCGCTTCCGGCAGTTCTGCGCTGCCAGTTTGTTCTTCCCCCGTCTGCGGATATCCCTCAGGAGGGTCACCTGATCAGTGGAGAAGCCATGGCCTTCAAGAACCTCCAGGAACTCCTCCACGGGCATGTTGACGATCTGCATGACAGAGAAGGGGATGCACATGGCGCGGGCGCGCAGCTCGTCGCGACTCAGGTCCCGGTCTTCAAGCGTTTGCCCGTCGTCGTCGCTGAGAGGCTCCTCTTTGATACCTTTGTGAGGCAGTGCTACTGATGGCTGGTGAAATAAAGCCGGAGAGGAGTAGCTGTGGTCATGCCACACACACTCACTCAGATCAATGGGAGACCACGTTGTGTTGTAGTCCATGATTCCCTTTGAGGGGACTGAATCCACCTCACTGCTGTAGCCCGTAGCTCCACACTCGTCCTCACAGAACGAACTGGATGAGGACGACATCTCAGAGGAGCCTGGACAAGCGAGGAGTTAATTCATGCATTAGTATTTTAGGAGAAACGGTTTGTTGACGTAACAAGCCGTGGCAATAAAGAAACGTCATGACTGGAACCCACCTGGGGAGACCGGACCTCCAGAGCTGCTCTCCAGGGAGAGACCCGAGTCGGAGTCCAAGTCCTCGAGGACCTGTGGGTTTATACCCTCGAGAGAACTCATCAGCTGGGTGTCCAGGCCTTCCAGACCTAGTTGATTGATCTGGTCAAACACTGCCTCATCCAGACAGCCACTCAGCGCACTATGCGATGACACATTTCCAGTTAAATTACATACTGAGGCAAACGGGAGCGCAGCGAGGCCCACTGCCATGTCCGGCGACGGGTCTGAGTGGGAGGAGCCTGTGGATTCTAGTCGAAAGAGGCTCCTCTGCTGCTGGGCGGCTGGCCGGGACTCAACTCTTTCAGACGCCACACCGAACGCTCTGGTTACCATGGCGTCGTGCAAACTGACATCCTGGCTTATGGCACTGGGGATGTCTGTGTCGGTAACGAGGGAGTCCAAGTCCTGCACACGGGACACACATTTTAGCGGATTTTCAAGTCTTTGCCATTTTGAAGGGAAAAAAAACAAACCACAACATAAATCATTACAAGATACACACATAGATGTTTTTATCAATCTGAATTACTGTTTGTAAACCAATATTGGGGTCAAGTAAAATACATTTTCAAGGTGCCAAATCTTACGTCAAGGTCAGTAACAGACAGAAAGAGTAAATTGCTCCAGTGCTGGTCAATATCAATTGTAGGAGGCTGGTGGCGAGATGGATCAGACAGTGCAGTGATGCCTTCAAGGAGACTCTGACGTATGCAAAAAGAAAATACACAAAATAAAGCACTGACACAGTAAGTGGGATGGTTATGCCACGTCTCCAATGAGAAATAAAGTAGCTCTGCCAAAGTTGAAAATCATTCCACAGTATTACTTAACCCAGTTTAGATTATTAGGATTGTGAACATCCTCTGGGACATTCAGTAATTAAGAGTGTTATAAATCTTGAGACAGTGTATAAGACAGTGTAACCACAACAGCAATGTTATCAGAAAAGTGATATTTGAATCATGTGAGGACATGAAATTATGGTTAAAATGGATTTCTTTTTCAACACGGTCACCTGACTGCAAGTCTTATGCAAGTGTGACGTGCGTATTGTCACGGACTGACAAACATTATAGAGTACACTATGACAAAAACAATAGAGCTAGGATTCAATGAACTCAAGCTTTAAAATGAAATGAAGGAAACTGCGACAAACCGGCGTCATACCTCTTGTTCCAGGGTGGAACTGTGAGCCAGCTGAGTGAGTGGGGCAGGTTCTTCCTCCGCTTTAACTTTAACATCATCCTCCTGGTGTGGAAGAGAAAGACGGGGGGAGAGAAAGGGAGGACATAATTGGGGTCCAGGAGAGTCAAAATGCAAGAGAAAAAGAGGATTTATTAACTTGAATCACAAGAACTGGCAGAATAAGCTGGTTTTCAACGACGACTGCATTTAACACAACACAAATGTTGCCTTCCTGCCAAATGATGTCAGACCCTTTCACTGATAGAAATGCATTAGCAGGTGTACTTGTGTATTGAAGTGGGGTTTAGGATTATTTTTATTTAACTACTCTCAGAGATGACGCGACCCTGTTACTTGTTTAATGCCGGGCAGCAGCTGTCAGCCGCAGACACAACATGCCAGATAAATCAGACAAACATTATTTTTTAGGTGGCTATGTGAGAAGAGGAGATAGATTCTCACCTCTTCTGCTCAATGCAAGGGGCAAAATTTGACAAGACTAAACATTACACCAGATGAGTGGAGTGGCCTTTTCTGCTGTAAATGGAATACTGAATGTAGATAGGTATTGATATCATCCCTGCTGCAAACTTGTCCTTCGAAGTGTATTTCCCAGGAGAAAAACCTTATCCTAGAAGCAGTTGAGCAATTACTTCTTCCACGAATGATCGGATAAGGAATAACGTGTTAACATCATCCAAGTAGACGAGAACCCTGCGAGGGGGCAGTGTTCAAGTATGGACCCCTTGCTTTGGTGTAAGCAAACAGGGAGTGGGTCTAAGCCTCACCACTAGACCTACACCTCTCAGGGCGCACAGCTGGTGGTGGAGTCTGAGGGAAAGGGGATATAGTTACACAACTAGCGACATCAACTGCTTTCAGGACATAACATTCACCCAGCAGATGGTTCTTCCCTGAGCTCACTGGGAGGAATTTCGAAGGAAGTCACAGATCACAGTTGGCAGTTGACAATGCACAAAGTGAAACCACACGTTTTAAAGTTGGTGACTTTTTTGTGGGTGAATATTTTGGCAAATAGTTGTACTGGTCTTATGAGGGTCTCATCTTTGGGGGTTAATTCTACTGCCTTCATGTAACAGGTGCAGTAGACTCTTTTGCAAATACTGCAACACTGTCTGAATGACGTTTTAATGGGTTATACGTTACTTGCTTAACCGGATCAGTTACTTGAATACCACGACTTAA